TCGGTCAAATAGCCGGCGGCGTCACAGCCGGAAAACCGCCGGCATAAAATCCGGTTGAAACCGGCGGTCGGAACCGTCAAAAAACCGCCGGCTTCATAAACAGCCGGTAAAAAACCGCCGGTGATAGTTTCCTACGCGATTTTTTCCGGCGGCACAAAACCCACCGTAAAGCCGCCGGTAGTTAAAAAAACCGCCGGTGAATATAGGCTAACCGCCGGAAAAAACCGCCGGATTTCGACGTTTTTCCTGTAGTGATGATACAGATAATCAAAAGAAGGAAGCCCCAAATCACCTTTAATTTTCGGAGTCACCAAAGAATTCAAAGAGATCATATGCAATTTCTTATCATAAATGTTACCAAAAAAGAGAAATTTTGAACATATACTAGAGATTGCTTTCTGACAGCCTTTCGGAATGATAGCCCCCGGATCTAATAAGCAATGGTGTTGGCAATTGTGAACTTAAGATATTGAAGTCTGCCTGCAAAAGAAAGAAATTTAACTTTCCAACTCGCAAGTAGAGTAAAAATTCTACTCAATAGGGGTTGGAAGTGAGCAAATTTAAGTCTGGGGGATGAAATAGGGATGCCCAGATAAGTAATAAAGTCATCCACCCTAGAAATCCCAAGGGTAGTCCCAATGACATTATTAGTAGAAATACTCTTGGATAACATGAGAGAACTTTTCAGGGGATTGATAAGCAAACCGGATGCAACAACAAAAGTATGCAGAATATTGTTAAGAGAAATAGCATTCTCAACCTTGGCCATACCAAAAATTAATAAATCATCAGCATACATAAGATGATTGATATTGAGGCTATGAGCCAAAATGCCATCAAATTTTGCTGGCACAACCATGCTAGAAGATAATGCATCCATGACAATACAAAAAAGAAGTGGAGAAAGGGGACATCCCTGTCTCAATCCCGAAAAAGAAGAGAAGAAACCTTCCAAGACCCCGTTGAGACAAATAGAGAAATGGACATCCACAATGCACCCTTTAATCCACTTTATAAAATTCTCAGGGAAGCCTTTTTGTCTAAGCCTATTAATTAAAAAGATACGAGAGACAGAGTCAAAAGCTTTCTTGATGTCCACTTTTGCACAAAAATAATTGTGATTGTCTTTAAACTCCCTCAAGACTTCATTGGCAAGAATAATGTTATCAGTGGAACACCTTTTATAAATAAACCCAGCTTGGCTATCATGGATGATAAGAGGCAGAATGGGTTTCATCCTATTTGCAAGGATCTTGGCAACAATCTTGTAAAAAACATTGGATAAGGAGATGGGTCTGAAGTCAGAAATGTCATTCGAGTGAGTTCCCTTAGGAATGAGAATAATAGCCGTTGCTTTAGCTCCAGTAGGCATTTCACCAGTATCAAAAAAATGTTTTACAGCCCTACAAAGATTAAAACCAATAATGTGCCAAGTCCTTTGGTAGAAGACAAAGGAAAAACCATCAGGTCCGGGAGCAGAATTTGGTTTATCATCAAAAACCACCTTTTTAATTTCTTCATTAGTGACCGGAGCAATAAGATCAGAAATGTAATGTGGAGGCACAGTATTCCCAGCCGGAATATCAAAGGAATTCTCAAAAGAAGGGGGAGAAGAGTTATAGAGCCCTCTGAAGTGAGCAGTAATGGCATAAGCAAGGTCATCATGAGAGGAAAGCAAACCATTCAAAGAAGAAAGCTCATAAATCGTATTACGATTTTTTCTAGCTCTAATTTTGGCATAAAGGAAGCCCAAATCGTCCTCACCATGAGAAAGCCAATAAGCCTTAGCTCTCTGGGAAATCCAAGCAACCCAAGCAGATTGGAAAGATGCCAAACGATTATTAGTGTCCTTCAGAGAAATATTCAAAGATTGGTTCAAAGGATCAGTTTGAATAACGGTTAACAATTGATGTTGCTGGCTCTTCAATTCCAAAATGTCATTAGAGATATAATTCGAAGAGTTCCACCTTTTGCTTTTAATGGACCTTTTAAGATGCTTCAAGCTGTCATAGAAAGAGGCAATAGGACTAGCCCCCACATGCCCAAGAAACGCATAACAAACTTCCTCCCAGAATTCATCAATTTCAGTCCAGAAAGCCTTAAACATGAATCTAGAAGGCTTTCTCTTAGCAAAGGCAGCACATAAAATAAAGGGGGAATGGTCAGACCCCGAATGATCCTCAACTCTATAATAAGCCGCAGGGAACAAATCCAGAAAAGCAGAATTAACCATCATACGGTCAAGTTTAATGTGAATAGGCTCAAGAATTCTTTGGTTATACCAAGTAAAAAACAACCCAACAGAAGGCAAATCCTGAATCCCAGCATCAAAGATGAAATTATTAAGCTCTCCCAGTCTATCAACCATTAAGGGATTCCCGCCAGCTTTTTCCTCTTGAAGTCTACAACAGTTAAAATCTCCCAAAAGAATCCAGGGGAGCTCAATAGCAGCCGAAAGTCTCAGCAAATCATCCCATAGGACTTTCCTATCCACCAGGTCATTGGCAGCGTAGACCACAGACATATAGAAAGGAGGAAGAGAGCCCGCTTCCACAATACCGTGGATAACTTGAGAGGAAATGTAAGAGGGAGTAAAAGTTAACTGGGAAGAGTCCCACTTAACCCAAATTCTACCAAGCACAGAGCAAGAGAAATTGTCACAACACCTTTCATTATCAAAAAGCACACGGGAAGAGTAAAACCAAGACTCATTAGAGGAATTCTGATGAATCTTGGCCTCTAGAATGTAGAGAAGCTTGAGGTTAAAGGAAGAAATAAGGTCTTTACACATCTTGGCCTTGACAGGGTGATTGAAGCCCCTGACATTCCAAGCAGCCATAGCATGCAATGACATGGATTACTCAATTTTTTGGCCTTCTTAGCCGTTTTTGGATTTGGTTTTTTGATTGGGGAATTGGAATTTCCTGAAGGTTTGGAAGAGGATGACGAAGCTTTGAGATTGGTGGAAGAATTAATGATCACCTCCTCAGTTTTAGATGAGGAAGAGATTTCCTCATCTAAAACATCTTCCTCAATAGGATCAGGATTGTCCACCGGTAAAGAAGCAAAACTGTTAGCCAGAACAACTTGTGAGGGGTGCAGCAGCAAGTGCGGGAAAGGTTGATCCGAAGAGGAAGATTCAGCTTGGGGTAGGTTAAGATTTAAAAGTGGAGGATTGGATGTCGAAGTAACAAGAGGTAGGAGAGCAAGATCTTGTTCCACATTCAGAACAAGAGATTCAACTGAAGGTAAAATTTCAACAACAGGTTCCACGACAGGAACAACAAGATTGACAGGTTGCTTAGAAGGAGAAGAGTTGAGCATAGGAGAGGGAGAAGAGGAAGGAATAGAGGACGAACCAGGTAAAATAGTATTAGTGGTTGGTAGAGAAGAATCAGTAGCGGGATGGGAGGCAGAGCGAGTAATTCTGATACCAGGCATTCTGCTTTTACTCCTACCTCTGAAGGTCGGTTTAGGAGGTAGAGATGGTTTCGGAGTCGGATTGGATGGGGAAAGAGCGAAGGGGTGTATGATGGAACCACAACCCTCACACCTCGTCGGTTTCCAGTCATAAACCACCTTAAGAACTAAATCCTCACCGTCAATTTCCAGCGGAATATCCTCAGGTAAAGACGAGTTTTTATCCACTTGTACACATACCCTCGCAAAAGTTAGCCTTGTTCGCTTGGCAGTTAAAGAATCCACATATAACGGTATACCAATATAGCTAGCAATCTTAGAGATACCTGAAGGGTTCCAGAGAGCTAAAGGCAAATTGAGTTTTTTGATCCAAAGAGGAATCACAGCAGTTTCATCCCGCCTAGGTTGGAATTTGGGCGACCACTTCTGAAGAAAGAACGGCTTACCCAAGAGAAACCAGGGGCCACCCGACCAAATCATGTCAAAATCCTCCACGGAAGTGAACTTCAAAAGGAAAAAATTATCAGCCAACGAAAGCAGCGAGAATGATCCTTTAAGTTTCCAGGCTTTATTCATCGCAGCAAGTAACCTCTCATAATAAGGTTGTTTCCCTAAAGAGTAGCCAACAAGAGAAAGTTCCCACAGCCCTTTACCTTCAGAAAGCTCAGAAGCCGCAAAAGAAAGTTTTTTGGATGGATGGACGAAAGACATTGGCCACTCATCCCTGGCTGACGGAAGTCCAGAAAGATTACTAGCATAAGAGATGGTAGGAGGAAGAGGAGGAGCAGTGTGAGACCTCGTTCCCTTACTGTTCCTCTCTGACTTGGATTTTCCTCCCAGGATCGTCCGGGACGACATTGAGATCGTCCAGGCCGATCTGTACTGTTCAAAATAACGTCCTGAGATCAGTTCTGGGAACCATCCAGGACGATCGATTTTGGTCTGATCGTCCCGGGACGATCTGGCGATCGGCCGGGCCGATCAGCCTAATGATATAAGGAAATCAGCTCGTTTTGAGGAGAGAGAAAATCATTTTAAAAACAAAATATCTGATTTGAGGAGAGAGAAAGAGAAAGGGAAAAGAGGAAAAGTTGGGTTTCGGAGGCCGCGGAGTGCTTTTCGTCTGACGCCGCTGTTGGGAAAAGTAAAGATCTCGTGGTAAGGACTCCGAATCCTATTTCTGTTTTCAGAGATATTGAGTTTTGACCGAGTTGTGCACTGTTTCGTGTTTTCGTAGTCGAATTTT